AGAGCTCTGCACCGCTATCGAGGCATTCTGAAGAGTAAGACTGGTGCAGAAGAGGAGACAACTGAGCAGGGGCAGTGTACTCACCTATATTAACTCGCATAAATATGGTGGTAGGGGTCCAACCTTAGTTCCTGGCCCTGGTTCCTATCTAGGTGTTACTGGTATTACTGTCTCCTATCTTCGAGAGCCTTTTATTATCTTTTTTTAAAGCTTTATGTGGATCCTGCCTCTACCACTCCTGTGTTCAGGTAGATCCACTTCCTGGCCACTCTGAGACTGAATAAATACTTCCACATCCCTGCGAATTATCTGTGTTTTCAACTTACAGATGTGCCCTCATGTTCCTGTTTCCTGCCTTTTGAGCAATATGTTTCCGTTCACTTTGTTAATTTCCCAGTATTTTGTACGTTATCATATCCCTTCTAGACCTTCTTTCCTCTAACATTATCTGGTTTAGCTCCCTTAATATCTCCTTATTACACATACCCTTTAACTCCGAGACTTGTTTCGTTGCAAACCTTAAAACTTTTCCTAGTTTTCTGACGTGCTTCGTCAAGTATAGGTTCCATACTAGTTCTGCACACTTCAATATGGGCCTGACGTATGCCGAAAACAGTGTCATGAATGACTCCTTGCTAATTTTATCTTTGCCAGATGTGCGTTTGCTTCAGCAATTAATATTTGGTTGATGGTACGCTTCAGAACATTGTTCATCTAGGAAAATGCCTTAACCTCCACCTCCTGATGACGTTCTCTCTTCACTCTCTCACACTTTCTGTACTTGCGAGATATTTAGGCACATTCATATAAAGTTCCAGTATCAACTTGTCTACCTAACTTAATATTGGTGAGACGCCACATCCGTCCATTGTTCACCTGTTTGTTTACCTCAGTTTGACATTTCACAGGATTAATTTCATTCCTTTTCCGACAATTGCAGCCATCCATCATTGTCACCTGTTTGTAATCAGTTGACATCTCGAACATCTTCTGTTCCTCTGTTCAGTAATATATCTTCTAGCGCTGATTCTTGTTAATCTCCAGTCTTTGCATGCGCTCATTCTGATACCTCTTTTAGGTCATTCACTCACTGATTCCTTCCTCTTAAGTATTCCCTTATCCATTGCGGTGCCTTTCCTGTTATTCCTACTTGCTCTTTTAACATTCATCGCAGTCTCTTTTGAGGTCAGTATCAAAAGTCTTCTTACAGTCCAAAAATATGTAAACTACCCATCCATCTCTCTCCTGCTTCTCTGTTACCCTGTCATTAAATTTTAGTAGGTTTGTGAGTCATGATTTAATATCTCTAAAGCCATGCTTGTTATTGTTTATGAACCTGATCTTGTCTAGGTGTACCACCACTTTTGTTTCGATAATCTTCTCCATGACCTTATGGACTAAGCATATACCGATACCGGCCTGTAGTTCAAAGTTACTTGTCTGTCCTCTTTCTTAAATACTAGCACTATATGTGCTGTTTTCCACACCTTGGTAGTTGCCATGCTTCAACTGAACTGTTGAACATTGCGTCTAGTGGCTTTCCAGGCCTCGAGGAGATTATTTGGTCCCATTGCCTTCGAGATATCTAGCTAGCTTAAGAGCTTCCGCACCTCCCTTCCTGTGGCACCAAATTTATATATATATATATATATATATATATATATATATATATATATATATATATATATATATATATATATATATATATATAAAAACATTGTCTCAGCAGGACTCGAACCTGCAAACTCTGTATCAGAGTCCACAGTACTTAACGGCGGAGTCAGACCCCAGATAAGTGAATTGTTAACAGAATCAAATTGAAGCAAAAAAAAAAAATCTTTATTAAATTGTATAATTAACTCAAGAATTCATAATACATCTTAGGATAATCGAAAAGCGACTGAAGCTTGATAATCTACCCTTCTACCATTCAATATGCAGCTGGATGAGTCTAGTGATGTGGTTGGTTGCAGCCAGCTGCTGATTTTAGTGTAATATGTTGATGACGGTTTAACCAAGGAAGAATTCCTTCTCTGCCATCCACTTTTACCACCCACAACAGAAAAGAATGTGTTCAACCTAGTTCAAGGATTTTTTTTCGTAAATCATAGCTGTCTTTTGGAACCAAAAATTTAGGACGATTTGTTTTGATGTGCGCTTAATTTTTTGAGCATAAATAATTACTTGCAGATCTGGTAAAAGCAGAAGCTCTTCGACCTTTTATCACTCGTTGCTTTTTGCAAGCACTTTCCTCAGAAACACTGCCCAGAGGTTTCAATGATATATTCACTACCAAGCCTACACTGAATTTTATACAACTTCAATTCACGAATTATTGCCACTTCGACATTCTCCACCAAGACGGTGGCTCAGTACACCTGTTCGAAATTTATAAATTTTATGGGGTCATGACTTCACTCAGTTCACATAATTTCTGGTGGAGATTGAAATGTTTTTCCAAGAAAGAGCGAGCAATGTATGGTGAAAATTTGAAGTTTCTAGTTTAGTCCTAAGCCTGGAATATTTAGTGGACATTTTTCCCATTTGAATGATTCTAGTCATTCAAGTCAGTAGTATGATATGGTGATTGTGGATGCTGTAGCCAAGGTGAACTTTTTCTTCTCTACACAGTGTCTCTGGAAAATACATTGGAACAACTTCTGGTGCTTATATGGGAAGAAATGTTTCTTTATCACGTTAGACAAGAAGTTCATGTTAGACAAGAAGTTCATGTTAAACAAGAAGTTCACTTTAGGCAAGAAGTTCATGTCAGATAAGAAGTTCATGTTAGACAAGAAGTTCAAAGATATTTTGGCTCGGAAGAGCTGAAGCCGGATGCATGGATTTGTTATCCAGTTATCATTGGCCTCAAAAGTTGAAATGTTGTTGATATTACAAAGATGATTTATTACCTTGCAAGCCTAGGAATAGTAGACAAAATACCAGAGAAAAAAAAATAAGTTTAAAATTCCTTGACTAAGGGATATTCTGCAAGCTGGCTATGCAATCTCTTATCCAGTCTACCAAAACTGATCTGTATGAAACGAGGATATCATCTTTGCTGGCCAGGAAAACTGGTGCCCGAAACCGGTTGAGGACAGTGGGGCTACATCTTAACAGATGTAGCCCCACATCTTAACAGATGTAGCCCCACATCTTAACAGATGTAGCCCCACTGTTTCGTGTTGTTGGTTTATTTGTCAGGAAAAAATCCTCTCTGACGGGTATTTGTCATAAGATATTCCGTTCAGCAGTGCCGGCACTATGACGGCAAGACAGTGTCTTTGGACATTGAAAAGTAGGTAGTTAATGGCCATATGTCCAGCCATGGAGGCATCTAGCGCTTACTGGTTGGTGCAGGACTCTGATCTGAAAGTGAAACCTGCATGTTCTGCCATGGTTGGTTCAAATCGGCTATAACTTCTCCAATAAGCTTCGTATTAGTTTGTTAAGGAAATTTGCTGTTGCAGTAAATTTATTATTTGCTTACTTACTGGCAAGCCAATCAGATGTATAGATGTATAATTAAAGAGGAAGACCATAGGTAATACTTGAACATACATGTATGTCGATCCGTATGTGTAAAAATCTCAGGATTCCTTCGTCATTATTTACGTCAAAGCCTTTCAAGGTTCTTAACTTGATCAAGAGAAGCAAGGAATTCTCTCCTCCTTTAAGACGACATAGTACACCAATTTTCCTGGTCAAAATAAAATTCCCAACTTCTACAATATAATGGTCATTTTTTTTATGACGTTGGCAGTCTACTTGCCTAGCTATGTTCTGACCAGGGATAGACAATGGGATATAAATGCAATGGACACTGGGAAATAAATTTAATAGTACTGCAATGCGAGTGGATGTAGTTCCAGAAGGAGACATGAATGGTAGTTCATAATTTCTGAAGATTAAAAATAAATAAGCAATGTAAAATGTATTTAAATAGATGAGAGAGATACGAATATCTGTCAACAAATTTTCACTTTATTTAAACGAAATTCAATCTTTAATATCTAGTTTTTATTTCTTAGCTCATCCAGAATATGTTATCTTAACTTCTCACATCTTTATCTTTCATGAAATATCTTTACATTTGTGCGTTTTTACTCCTGATGAATTCAAGTCAAATGAAATGGGATATTGCCCATAAATATTGACATGGACAAGTTGCAGAACAAGTCTCACTCTGTGTGAACTTTTTATTAAGTTATGGCTTCATAAAGTTTTACACCAAGTTTAAACGTTTTATAAATTAAAACTTTTTCTGAAACCTGTGTCTCTGTTCTCATACAACCCGCCACATCAACAACTTCAACCTTCTAATTCTCTCTGGATAAGCTTCAATATCATGTAAAGACCATTGTATTTATCTTCAAAGATTATTGCTGTCTGTCTTCGCTTTCTTGTTATCAGTACCACTTTATCATGAGTCTCTTCCGCTCTTCTCGTCACTTCATCGTTGATGATTATTTCTTGGCAATATTGCGTTTAATAACACATTTAAAACTATGTTTCTAACTAACCACAACATCACTTCTGGCCAATGAAATCTAGTTTACAATAAAAGGTCTATGGTGTCCTCTCATAAGAGACAGAAAAACTTACATTATCATCATTAGTTACATTATAATAAAGGAGGCGATAAGTTACGTGAAGAATCTGTCATGATAGGGGAAGCTGATGGAACCCACATTCTGAGGACCTCTGATGGAAGTCGAAATATACAGATAAACAATCACTCTAGCTCCTGTCTACAAGAGATGATAGATCTCTAGTAAACAAATGTTCATTGCATTCTGGTACATCAGCTCTTTTAAACACATTTTGTTTTCCAAATCCTTCTCTACTGCATATGCCATCATTAAGGTGTCCTGCTCACTTGTGTCGTTCCTCCATTATTTATTCCATATTTTGAACACTCTCTGGTTACATGACCTTAAAACACATATATTCGCGTCTGAAATCTGAAACAACTAATGTGCCATAATTTTTCTTCCCAGATCTCAGATTTTGTATATCTTCAGCAAAGACACAAGCTGCAAAACAAGTTTGAACTAGGACGAGATTTCGCCCTGGTTAGAGCTCTATCAAATTGTCACTTGACAAAGCTCTACACAGAGAGGTGATGTCTCAATAAAATCATATTCTACAACATGTGTTTTCATCTTCAGTCTTGTAGCCATGTGTTCTCTCATCCAATGTTTTTGATTATAGTTTCTTCTCACTCTTAACTTTTATTGAAAGCTCCATGACGTAATACCTACACTTCCCAACCTGGAACATAAAAATCTTATCCATTACTTGAAGTTTCTTAACTGTTTTTGTAAATTATTCACGTGTGTTTCCGTGTTACGAATGTTATTTCCGTATTACAATTTTGTTAACATCTGTTCGGTTCCACTACTATGGGTAATAAATAATCAGAACACATCTAAATAATATTTCGTAGATACTTTTAAAATGATTCTCTCTCTCTCTCTCTCTCCAACTTATGATCTATATTTCCAAAATCATTTAATGATTATTCCATTTTAAAAAAAAAATTTAAAACTAAGTAAGATTTCAGTAAGCTAATAGTACGATTTTGTTTATTTGAACATAAAATCAAATTATTAACCAATTTTCCCCACCTAATTCTTACACATCCGTTTCTCTTTTTAAAAAATAACTCTTCAACTGTGTCTGCTAAAAATCGCTGTATTTCCCTTGACTCTTTAGATCCGCCTTTCAAAACCTTTGCTTCGGGACTCTATTTTTTTGTTTTAAATCGCTTGTTGATTATTTTTTTGTCTTATTCTTTTTTGTCTTCTTCTTAATAAACTTTTTCTTCGTGATCACTGTATTATTATTACACACATGCACACACGCTCACACACACACACACACACACACACACACACACACACACACACACACACACACACACACACACACACACACACACACACACACACACACACACACACACACACACACACACACACACACACATACACATACACATAAGAACAAGTAGACACAACTTCAAGTTAAAAGCTCAGATGAGTCACAGGGATGTTAGAATTGTCAGGAGAGGGAAGTAGTGGATGCAGGATCCATGCATAGGTTTAAAAGGAGGTACGATAAGGCTTTTGGAGCAGCGATCAGCGAAGAGGCGGTAACCAGGAGCCAAAACTCGACTCCTGCGAAACATTTCGGAATAAGGCTACCTAACTTTTGCACATGTGTCTTCTAAACTTGTCGGTATTGAACACCATTATCATATTCACAGTAGTAGTAGTAGTAGTAGTAGTAGTAGTAGTAGTAGTAGTAGTAGTAGTAGTAGTAGTAGTAGTAGTAGTAGTAGTAATAGTAGTAGTAGTGGTGGTGGTAGCGGTGGTGGTGGGAGTAGTAGTAGCAGCAGTAGATGAAGGTAGAATTAACGGCATTATCAGTAGCAGCAGTAAAGGTTGCAGCAGTGCTACTAGCAGTGGTATAAATATTAGTATAAAATGTAGTATTGGTGGAAGTATTTGTAGTGTACATGAATTAATAAAGAAAGAGAAGAGCATTGCAAGAGTTCTAGTGTTCCACGCCTGGCAGGTCTGTTAATAAAAAGAGTAACTTAAATTTCAGGGCGGTGGAGAATGAATTATCTCAACACTGTAACAAGTGTTCCCTAGAAGGTAGAGAGGAACTGGCCCAAGCTAGGTAAGAAATGGAAGCAAGAATTTAGAAAGTCAGAAGATATAGAAGATAAAAAAAAACACAGAAGACAGGTCAGGGGCTAGGGAGAGCACGTGGCAAAGGTCAGGTGAAGTCAAGAGTAAGCTCATGATTAGAGCATTTGACAACGTACTGAGAAAGGCATGCATCGACAGACGTAAAGCCAGGCCTAAGATACATGTTAGGAAAACTGTGTATAAGGGCTGATTCAACAAAACAGCCTCTTAAAAAGCTAGAAGGAGGGATGTATCTTTAGCAGAGGACCAGTTACTAGGAGGCTGTGATCTCTGGCGTGAAAGTAAAGAACATTTTTGGCGAACACAGCTTTAGTTAAGCTCATAAGGTTCCTCTCTGAAGTGCTGGTGTTTGGTTATTGGCTCCACATGCGGTATTGTAGCGTTGTATTTTATATCTCTTATATAACAAAGTTTATCCAAAATAAATATGAGAACATGACATGAAACAGTAACGAATTTAGACTTAAGATAAAAAAAACTGATGGTTAATTTAAAATAAGAGTAATGACGAGGGATGCTGATTGAGATCGAAATATGCAGACCATTTTTACTAATTTTTTTTTTCCGATGGGCTACTCACTTCTGAAATTAAAAATTGGACACGACTCTAAGTTAAATGAACCAAGCTAATAGAATCATGAAAATTTTGAATATATATATATATATATATATATATATATATATATATATATATATATATATATATATATATATATATATATATATATATATTAAAAACTGAATGTTCAGTTGGATATTTATTATGAACATGTGGTTCATACCTATAGGAAGAAGCTCTATCAGTACTGCTTAGCCTGTCAGGTTTAAGACCTATGTCAAACAAGACATATATATATATATATATATATATATATATAATATATATATATATATATATATATATATATATATATTATATATATATGTATATATATATATATATATATATATATATATATATATATATATATATATATATATATATATATATATTTTTTTTTTTTTTTTTTTTATCACACCGGCCGATTCCCACCAAGGTAGGGTGGCCCAAAAAAGAAAAACTTTCACCATCATTCACTCCATCACTGTCTTGCCAGAAGGGTGCTTTACACTACAGTTTTTAAACTGCAACATTAACACCCCTCCTTCAGAGTGCAGGCACTCTATATATATATATATATATGTGTGTGTGTGTGTGTGTGTGTGTGTGTACTTCGCTGTATTCTTATCGTTTTCCTTCCACAAGAATGAGGTCCAACAGATGAGGAAGATGTACGACGTTAGTGGATGGGGGAGGAGACGAGGTGGGAGAGAAAATGAAAAAGAAGAGGAGAGGGGAGAAAGAAGCAAGGATGGTAAGGGAGAGAGGGGAGGAGTGACTGGAAAGATGTTCGATAAAACAAGAGAAACACTGGGGAAGGGGGTCAGTGACCTCTACAATCAAGGTGAACTCTTGAATTACACGGAGAAAGTAATTAATGCAGCCTAATGTACCATCATTTTTACATACAACACTCACATACACACACACACCCTTCTCCCTCCCATTCCCTTGCTTCCCCTTCCATTCCTTTGCCTTCCCCTCCTCCTCTCTCTTTCTCTCTCTCTCTCTCTCATATTCTTTATTTTATTTAGACTTGTCTTCTACTTATGAACCTCAGAGTGTAGGCTCATGTACAGTGAATTAGTTTCGTCATACTTTTCTAAATGTTCCACTGTATTTATATCCAACCTGTAGTATGAGGACCAGAACTAAGCTACATAATTTAACTGTAGCCTCACTAATGACTTATGGAAACTGTAATATGACCTGTGGATTCTTGTTATACAAACTTTGTAATATAAATCTGAGTAATCTACCAGCCTTATTACACACACTTAGATGCTATTGTCTTGGCTTCATATTTCTACTTAAAATTACTGCCTAAGCCTTTTCATATTCTGCATGATCAAACTCATACATTATCTAGTTTATATGTATGAGAATAATTTGCATTCCAAAGGATTAGGACTTTGTACTTATCCACATTGATGTGCATTTGTCTCTTCTCGGACCATAACATTAATCTGTGCAAATCTTCCTGAAAGTCAGTTGTATCCTCCTCAGAATCAACTTTTTGTCTTATTTTGGTTTAATCAACGAATCTCTTTATGTCACTCGTCAGTATCATTAATGTAAATTATGAATAACAAAGGACCTAAACACTGATCCTTGTGGAACACCACTTAAGACTGATCCTAGTTCTGATTTTACCCAATTTATGCAAATTTTCCTCTTTCTGTTGATTAGCCATGTCTCGAACAATGGCAGAACCTTTCATCCCATGCCATGAACAGCCACCTTCTTTAAAAGTCTTTTGTGTGTGGCAGTCTATCAAAAGCTTTATTGAAATCAAAATATACAGCGTTGCATCCTTTATTATGATCCAGTACCTCAATGTTTTTCTGAAGGAGTACCGTAAATTCGTCAAGTTTGAGCGTCCCCTTGTGAATGCGTATTGACTCAATCAAATTATACTCATCAAAGTGGCTTCATATTACATTGGGTATAATTAACTTACAATATGATTACTTTTGAGGTTAAGTGTACTAGGCGACAATTTAATCGTAATGACTTAACTCCTGCTCTTATTAAGTAGGAAATATGTTAGCCATCCTCCACACCTCCAACACTGCTTAAATTAAGTTTATCAAGACCTGGGAATTTGCTTAACTTTAATAACTCACCCCTTCATTACATGGTTCCCTTACAGAAGCATCATAATACTTTCAAGGAATATAAAACCATGCAAAATAAATGAGCCACGTGTCCAAAATTTCTTTAGGTACATTCCTTGGTATATCTTCGGAAATATCACTAGGAATTTTGTCAGGAATACAGCTAATGATTTCATCATGAATATCGCTAAGAATCGAATATTTCTACAACAACAAGAATTCATCACAAAATAATTCACCATTTCATGACTTTCCATGATAAAATATAAGTGCCGGCGGGCGAACAATTTGCATCAATTCATATCGATAATACAATCAATGTCCAATAATGATCGAACTCAGAAAACAAGATCTGTAACGCAATTTTTTTTTCGAGCCGAAATAGAATTTTGAGGCTTATTATGGGCTGATTTTATAACAGAACGAATTTGGTGAACGTGGACGAGCTAGTGAAGAGCCGCACTGGGTATATGGAGGCTAGTATTTTCTAATTGATGGATCCTGCCAGGTGGGTTATTGGATGTGTGGAGTGATGGAGTTGATTATATAATTTTGGGTGTGGTGATGGGCAGTTGTTCAGGTGTGAATATGAATGAGTGAAATGATAACTTTAATAGTAATAACAGAAGTAATAGTAAAAATGCGAAAATTTTAAAAACAAATGTGGTGGTAGAAGAGGGTG